TGACAGTATCTGTATATTTCAGAGGTCTATCTGACAGTATCTGTATATTTCAGAGATCTATCTGTCCTTGTATATTTCAGAGATCTATCTGACAGTATCTGTATATTTCAGAGATCTATCTGACAGTATCTGTATATTTCAGAGATCTATCTGTCCTTGTATATTTCAGAGATCTATCTGACAGTATCTGTATATTTCAGAGATCTATCTGACAGTATCTGTATATTTCAGAGATCTATCTGTCCTTGTATATTTCAGAGATCTATCTGACAGTATCTGTATATTTCAGAGATCTATCTGACAGTATCTGTATATTTCAGAGATCTATCTGTCCTTGTATATTTCAGAGATCTATCTGACAGTATCTGTATATTTCAGAGATCTATCTGTCCTTGTATATTTCAGAGATCTATCTGACAGTATCTGTATATTTCAGAGATCTATCTGACAGTATCTGTATATTTCAGAGATCTATCTGACCGGTGTGATGTGCACGGGCACGGTGGCCACCCTCCTCACTGCCTGGACAGTCACGATGTACAGCCGACCTGAGGTCGACCCCGTGCCACGCTGGATCGTCTACGTGTGTGACCACGGGTTCAGGCCCTTCACCTGCAAGACCACAGCCTCCTCCCCCTCCTCCTCCTCCTCCTCCTCCTCTTCCCCTCAGAACAACAAATCTACAACAACAAGCAACTCCCGAAGCACGGGTCATACAGACGTCCACTCCATTTCCCACAATTTAAACAACACACAGGACAACTCTGCTGTCGCTAATGGAAAAACTTCCCAGGCTGCTTTCAACTCCGGATCTAGCAGGTCTGGACTGAGCTCCACTTTCCTGAACAAACCCTTGCCCAGGTTTGAACCCAGAGTCTCTGACGGGTCTGTGACATTCAGCGCATGCGCCTCGTCTCGCCAGTATTACACTGACCGCTCCGAGTACTCCGATTCAGGGAGTATGTACTTGCCGGACGACGCTGCTCATTTCCCGGAGTCTGGTGGTCAGTTTGGGGGGAGACCAGGGCCAGATGACCAGCAGACGACCCGCACGTGGAAGGAGGTGGCCCAGCTAGTGGACGCCGTCTGCCTCAGGGTCATCAGTCTGTCCATTTTGGCGGGAACCGGCTCCCTGGTCGTCTTCTACAGCCTTTCTTACTGACTGGAAGGCTACCGTTTTTATGTGTGCTTTTTCCCCCTTTTTAAAGTAAGTTTTTTTTTTACAGTGCTCGCAACTGCGTAAGGTCATAGTATGAGCGCCAAGGGGTGGATGTCAACAGAGAAGTCCTTACAGGGAATCAGGCTTACTCTGCTCACCTCTCTAGCTTCAACAGCACAAAGTCTGCTTCGACTATCAAGGCACCCCGGAAATAGCGGGTCACAAGAGTGTGACAAACATACAAAAGAAATAGAGGAAAAATGACGATAGTAAGGATGAGGGGGGAAAAAAGCCGCCTGTTAAACGCTCTCTTTGAAATCTGTTTGGTTATGTAAGAGGCCTGACCTCCAAATATAACGTTTATCTCCGATAGGACAACGTCAAATGGGTTGCGAGCCTTTAAAATTCCACAAAACGACCCGAATTCAAAAACACCTTATTGTTATATTGCTTAGGAGCCAATCCTGACTGAGAGGGATACAACTGAAACAGAGAGAGAGAGAGAGAGAGAGAGAGAGAGAGAGAGAGAGAGAGAGAGAGAGAGAGAGAGAGAGAGAGAGAGAGA